GGCAACAGGACTCTATTGGTCAGTGTAGGTGTTTTTAAATTGGTTGTATTGTTGATTATTGTATTTATGGTTTTGATTGTTTAAATGTTTAATGTTTTTGATTTGTATTGAAACTTATGTATTGACGACATGTGTTGTTGACCTCTTGGCCAGGTCACCCTTGTAAAAGAGATCGTGATCTCAATGGGTTTTTTTTACCTGGTTAAATAAAGAGAAGTAAACTCTCCCAACAGAAACAAGTCATGGGTATAGAGGTATTGTGGATTAAAAGGACACACAGAACAGTAAGTGTGAATGTTGATTTACACAAACTCCTACTGCAATGTAGGAAATACATTTGTTTGTGTGTGACAGTGTAAATGCTTCCAATACTCAATGTCCAATCCCAGAAGTTAAATTACCATTATATTAAGTTTCCCTTTTCTTTTGATTAACTGATTGACTAATTGTTTCAGACCGGGTAGAACATCAGCTGGACTTTAAAGCAAGCCACCAAATATATCAGTGGGAAATTTGAACTGGCCTGCTTGATGCCGAGTGCATTACAACAATCCTACAAGTGCTCAGAGATGAACGTTATTACAATAAGCCTTTAGACATTCAACTCTTTGCCAAAGTATGCGCCTGCACTGTAGCATTAGGAATATTATAATCTAAAGATATAAAAAAATAATGCAAGTATGACACTGGTGTAGATGTAAACAAATATGATGGATAAAATTAGACATACATCTGCATCTATAAGAGATTCAGTTTGTGATTAAGTGCAGCACAATCCCTGAGCAGGAAACAGTGGAGCTGGCAGATTTGCAAGCCCATAAGTGCTTTGTATTTATTATGTACAACACCCTGAAGCACACAGAGCAATAGATCACATGGACACAGTAGCCGAATCACAAGAGGAAAGAAGGATATGACCCATCATAACTGAATTTCAACAACAGCTTGCACACACTGTCAAAACTAAAGCAAGTTTCACCTGAGTGGACACTTTTGGCTGAATGGAAAGCACTTCACCTTAATCACAAATACAGTACTGGGTTTCTCTCTGCAGCTCTAATGCACAACACTGAGCAGCAGCTTAGTGGAAGGTGATCTGGGATCTGTGGCCGGGGAGCTTGTCAAACAGACTGCTTTCACATTTAGAACAACAGCAGGGGATAAGGTGCAGCTCAGCTATCAGACTGCTTTCACATTTAGAACAGCAGCAGGGGATAAGGTGCAGCTCAGCTATATGCAGGGAGATAAGCTCTGCAACAAGGCTGGAACTGCCAAGTACACTGCTACTCTCCTCTTTAAAAGATGTCCTCTGATCATTTCTGTGTGGCCAAAACAGGCTCCGTCTGATTCAGTCACACACTTACACAGAGAGACACAAACATACAGGCTAAATAGACCTCATTTTTACATTTTTGTGCCAGATCCGGCTTCACACATGAGCTACAGTATCCTCATAATTGTAGCATTTACCACATGCAAATACTCCACCTTCACACACGATGGAAACTTAATAACCCAGGGATACACCTTGACTCCATCCATGGCAAAACCAACATGGTGAAGGTACTCAGAACTTGGATGGATGAAGGAAATATGAGACCTAGTGTTATAAAAATTCTGTTATTAGACATGATTTTTACTATTTAATGTGTTTTAAACTTTCATAACAGAGCCAAGAGAAATCTTTGTGAAACTCCATGTACTGTGATATAATCGACTACAGACTGTTCCAGATAAAGCGAGACACAACCATCAACTGTAGGATAAGCATGTGTCCCAGTATGATTAGCGTCTAAGTCGTGTTATCAGGGTGCGCCTCTTTACTATACATTATGTTGTATGAACCTACCTCACTCAGACAACTCTGTATGCTCATGCTGACTTGTATTCATTGCTGCAAGTAAAGAATACTGCTTAAAATGTTCCATTGTCTTTGTTACATTATTTAAAATTCCTTTGACACCTAGGTACAGGGCAGATCTTGCAGAACAGCCTGAGCATCAGGCCTCTGACATTAAAATCAGGTTAGAAACAATATATTGCTAATGCTTTTTGAGACATTACACTTTTGTAAGTACACATCCTCATGTATTGAAAGAATTCCACCATATTCTACTCCATGGTAGCAGCATGTGTTGATGTTTCACAGTCTGTTGGCCTCATTTCCAAATCAAAGAAATTGCAGCTGCAATAGCCCCAAATAACATCTGTAACTGGAAAATCCCATTAAAGATATCTTTAATTTTACTTTTTACCTGTCAGAATGTAATTTCAGGTATCTGGAATTCACATTTTGGATAGGCAGAACTGAACTGTTGATACCTTAAATTAGTTTTACAATTTAAGTCAATAAGGAATTCTTACAAGTAATTGCACGTCTTTATTTTGAATTTTGTCTAGTCGAAATTTAATTGCAGATATCTTAAATAATAGTTTGACTGGTCGTAAATACATTGCAGATCAAGTCCTATCCACCTATTTAATGTTAAAGGGGCTTGCCATACACCCCCGTGTTTGGGGTCTGCAGTGTGTGCTGTGATTGTGCGTCACTCACCATAAACAGACATTCTGTCAGTCCCCTCCTGACCAGTGTCCACAAATAGGTGCAAAAGAAGAACAGGGCGACTTCGGTCCAGGTAATGTATGCATTGTCCAGGAGAGTCCGTGTGGAGAGCTCCACGCCGCAATTGCCACAGTCTCTCCATACGCCCACCCAGACAGAGGAGGCTCTGGTGATGAAGTCCACGTACCCCGGCATAGGCTCCACTTCCACCCGCCCGGCATCCCCAGTGTGCCTGCTCATTGTGGTACGGCGCAGAGAACAAACCCGTGGGAAATAACGCCAACTGAAAGATAGAGGGAATCCGCGGAGCAGTAAGACACAGTCCAGACTGTGTGACTAATCCGACAACCAGACTGCTAGCTCCCCTAAACTCGCAATAGCTTAATTTTTTGTTTTCTAAATTAAGACATGGGCCCAATCTTTGCATTAAGATGACCGATAGTAGGGCCCCGTGTTTCTGGATTAGATAAAATAATTAATAAATTGGATTCTGATATTTAATCTGAGCCATTGGTGCCAGTCTGGAGGAGGTTTCTTCTGATCAACTAGGAACACGGGCTAATCAGAGGAAGGTGGGTGTTCCGGGTTGGCGGCTCACATATGATGCACTGGCAGCAGCTTCCAAACCAACTCTCTATATGTGACCGAATTAACTCAAAAAGAGATGGCGCTCACCTACATCAGCAGATTCAAGTCAAGGTATAAGCATATTTCGCTTTTCAGCGCCAAGCCCAGCCAGTACATGCGTTTATTGTATAGATATCCTGTAACGTACAGTATTTGTCCGTTACTCGCATTTTATGTAAAGTCTGTCACTTCATGAACTGACGCTACAACGCCGGCATACAAAGACAAGAAGTTCCAGCGAAAAGAAAATAAAGTGAACTATTATTCAATGTTATTCCGTTTATCCGTACCTTCTCCTCCAACGATGCCACTGCTCCTGACTAGTGACGAGCCGTGTTACACTTTGATTTGAAGGAACTGAACCGTCTAAACGGGGACGACGCTCGTGTCAGCGAAAAGGGTATTTTTAAATTAAAAAAAAAAAAAGGTCAGGGGGCGTGGCGTAATTAGGACCACTACCTTCCCTTTGAACCCACGCTTAGAATTAAAAGGGACAGAGCTGACAAATGATGAATTCAAGACTGCACGGAAAGCAATTGCAGCATAGAAATGTGTCAGAAAGCTCCCAAAACAATACTGTAGGTTTTCACTGACCCTAACTTTACATGCCTAGTTTTATTTCCAGTGGCATCCAGAAACCAGCCACTTATCAGTTCATTTATCAGCCAGTAACAGACAAAATATCGAAATGTATTAATCTGGGCTTCCTGGAATAAGTATGGGCCTTTTCACTATTAGTGATATTTTCAGGCATGAAAGAAAATAACTGCCTTACATTTCTGCTGTGATGGATTACTACTACCTTAATGCAGGATTTCTGTTAACTACTTAGAAAAAATGTGATAAACAATACACGTTTTATATAAAGTTTTGACACAGAGCAACTCTTGAAGACCAGGGCCACGAGACTGAGAAGCCATTAGAAATTATTTTTAACTTCAGCTGTGATGATCTGTAATGAATCTAGCCACAGGAGTTGCAAGCCAGTGACTTCTGTGCCGTCCCGAGCCCGGATAACTAGAAAGGGTTGCGTTATGAAGGGCATCCGGCGTAAAAACATGCCAAATTTAAACATGCGAATCATCAGTGTGACAGCAGGGGTGTCAAACTCAATCTAATAGGGGGCCAAAACTCAAAGCACACTTTAGGTCACGGGCCTAACAGGATAAACATTTATTGAACAGACTAAAACTAAACGTTTTTGAACATCAATATGAATCGAAACAGACAGGATACAATATTATTCCAAAATAAATAAACTTGAACATAAAATCATCAACTGTATTTCTGCTAAGGCTTAGTACATTTGCAAACACCTGCTTTTTGTCTGGACACAAGACGTCACACACTTTCATCATGCAGCTCTTCAGAAACCCTCCCTCGGTAAATGTCCGGGCTGATTTTCTCCTCTGCCACAATAAAACTTGCTTTCACAGCAGCTTCACTGTGTGATTTCACTTTGGTGAAAACGTCTGCTGTGATGTCAGATTCCTCTTCAACTCCTCTACCTTCTGTAGCTTCTGCTCTTCATTCACGTTTTTCATCTTGTCCTGATGTTTTGTATCGTAGTGCCGTCTTAGGTTATATTCCTTAATTACAGCCACATTAGCTCCACAAATAAGACACACGGGTTTATGTCAGTAAACATATACTCAACCTCCCACCGGTTTTGAAAGGCTCTGTTTTCAGAATCAACCTTTCTCTTGGCCATTGTTAGGGGCTAGCTTTGACATGAAATTAGGGTTGTATACATCAACACACTTGATTGATCTGACATAATTGACGCGGGAATGATCGCAGGTGGCCTATCGTTCGGTAAGGCAGCTGTTGCGCTGCATTATGGGATTTGTAGTTTGTGTGTTATCGGCGCTTCATATCGCCGGGCCATTAAAAAGAAAGATATATCAAATGATCTCGTGGGCCTTGAGTTTGACACGTGACCTAAACCTAAAAGGAGCTACATTGTGTCTTTGTGGATTTAGAGAAAGTGTACGACAGAGTGCCGAGAGAGGAGCTATGGTACTGTATGAGGATGTCAGGAGTGGCAGAGAAGTACATCAGAGTAGTTCAGGATATGTATGAGAGGAGTACGACCGTAGTGAGATGTGCTGTAGGTCAGACAGAG